ATATAATTTTGCTACCAAAGTCGAAGAAAGCTATTTTAACACGTCTGAAGTGTGAGAGAAAACAACAAGTCCACCAGAAAAAAAATTAGAATACGAAAAAGTGAGTGCGTTACCAAAACGTGAGTGCGTTACCGTAGTATTTTAACTACAGGCCTAGAGCAGCACAATATTTTTAAAAGATTGTTTTACCATTAGATAGCCCTAATTTTCTGCTACAAACTTTCTATGAATCATATCTCTTTATAACTGAACCATTCGCAGGAATCTTAACATTTCTGATGCCACTAAGAAAGGGAAGGGCCTTTTTTGTGAGTGCGTTACTTTCCTGTATTTTCCTTGTAAAATTTGAATGATAAAGCCGATCGAGGTGAAACTTATAGTGGTTGTACAGTTTTGCAAGATGCATATGTGCACCAAGTTTCAAGGCTTTACGCTTTACCGTTAGAGAGAAATTCAAATCGAAACTTGACAAAACGTGAGTGCGTTACCTGCGGACAAGCCCTATACAGATTGCTTTTCCCATCATTAGAAAGAGTCCCTACAGAAAGTACTGAGTTCAGGGTACCCATGTACTGAGAAAGCCCTAGCAGGGTACCCAATATGGGTACTTCAAAAATTCTCAGTAATTATACTGATGTAGGTACTGCGTGTGGTTCCCATAAAAGTACGCTCACTGAAGAAGTACTTGTATGGGTACTCGTATCTGTAATTTTACTGAGGAAAGGTATACAGGGTACCCTATATTTGTCGCGTTCTGTGTAGCGACTATTCATTCACCGTTTTCTTTTTCACGCACGGCTTCATATAAACAACTGGGTAAGACATAAGAAATTAATCTATTTTCTTACTAATTTTTTCTAGATTATTTCTTAGTCGAGAACATGCCGATCTTGATCGTAGATCAAGAGCAGACTACTTCGAAGTGGTCTGATGGATACCTGACCAACTCAAGTCGGGTCAGATCTCGGGCAGTGTACCTGCTAATTTTTTGGAATTGAAAAAACTAAATTGAATAAAATCGGAAAAAAATGTAGTGAATTGCTTCGAGAGAAACAAAAATTAAAAAAAGTTAAAGTTCAGGTTCGATCCTGAACATACTGAAATTTTTGTAGCAGGGTACCTAGAAATACTATACAATGGTACCCAATTGAGTATCTGATCAGTACCTTCATGCACCCAGTTACTACACATTTTGTAGCAAGGTACTTTTCAAAGTACCACTTAGGTACCTGAAAGTACTTTCAAGTACTTTCGTGTCCAAAAGTTCCTGTGACATACTGGTAACAGGGTACTTTTTCGGGTACTCTTAACTCAGTACATTCTCTAGGGTTGACAAACGTCATACTTTAATATTGATAATTCAATATTTCTTTCATTAGTTGCCTAATTCGAGTTCGAGTATACATGAAAGTTTTCGAACATAGTGCCACTGGGAAAAGAAATGAAAAATATTTGAACCAGCAGTAAACTCAGCCAATAACTAAAGCCAAAATTTCATCTGAATTATAATTTTAATATGAATTAGGACTATTTTATATACAAACAACCAAAAGGGCACACAGACATTTCTCTGCATTATAATTCTTTGCTTCAGTCGCCTTTAATGTGATGATTACTCTCTCGACAATTGCTTTGAAGTCCTGAATAGATCAAAAGTTTGGCCTTAAATGAGTGTAGGCAAGTAAGGGAAATCCTTCAATTTTTTAGCTCATACTTTAGTACCATCTATCTGAGTGTAGATGAAAAAACTTATGCCTTCAATAACTGGATCCAACCATTCCCTGCTGGAAGTGCAAGGACGATCTTGTTGAGACCCTTGGTTGATTCCTACTCCGCCCTAGGAGATGCAATGGATACCCACGGGTTCGCATGGTGATACTCGAACGATTTCTTGTATGTCGTTCACTATTTGCAGAGTATTTCCGGAGATCTGTTGGAGTTCTGCTAGAATACTAAGACTTTTCTACAGTATCCGATTGAGATCAGCTAATGAGCTACCAGATTACTATGAGATCCCGAGCATTTTCGAACACCCTCTGAGGATCTCCTGGTAACCAACGAGCCACCCCCTAAAAATCGGTCGAGGATCTCCTACAGATGGTCTAGGAATCTCTCGAGTATCTCACGCAGATTCCAGTAAAATTCTCTCAGGAGTTGCTGGAATCAATCAAGAATCGTCTGGAAGAGCATTTCTAAGGCTTTGGAAAATGTATTGGGTGAGGTTCTATACATGCTTAAGCAGAAGTCTCGAGGAATAGTGAGTGGGATTTAGATGATCGGCGTGAGAGGTTTCTGTGGTAGCGTGATACCGGAATTAGCCAATTTTCCTCCAAATTGCAATACTTGCGATTAGTAGCGTGATCTTGTAGATGGAAAGTACGGAGTGAGTTGCGGAAAACGTCGAGTAAAAATGAGCTCGAACTTTCGAGCGTACCTATCAGGCTAACTGCTTCTGAGCCCTTAAAAGTTTTCTTTTGCTGGAGTGCTTTTGGCTGCATAACGGATCTTTTATATCAGCGTCGCCACACGCTGATATGTAGCGCCCTCAATGAGCAGCGACCCGTGCCCGTATCTGTTTACACAACATAGTTTATCTGCAATTTACCATGTTCAAAAGAAATCTTCAACCGAGTAAATCAATACTGAAATACTTCTAATTCAGATATTCATCAATTAGATGCTTAAAGTGAACTCAAATTGATGGATTGTAGTCTCGATCGCTGCGCTTCTGACTTTAAACTATGATTCGAATTCACTTGGTCTTTATGTGCCAGTTTCTCTTTGCCTCACTTACTTAAAACTCACTACTTTCATTATAATATAATACGAGAAAAATTTGTTTATTGCTTTTTCCCTTTTTGGAGTTCTGAGGCCTTTCGAAAAATGTCATTTGTGTTGATAATTCAAAACGATGGCTCACGAAGCCGGTAGGCGTTATTATTAAAGCTGAAGTTCAATTGCTCTGATTTTCAATTTTCTGTGTAATTGTAAACTAAGCCTTCGATTTTTCAGAAAGATTTGTACCCGTGTAACTAAATTTTCATTGCAACGTCGCGGCATCGGAGCGTATAGCGTCCCCTCCCTCCCGAAGAGTCACGACCTATGCTTGTCTCGATGTACAAAGAGAAGTGTATCTTCAATTTATCATGTTGAAAAAAAATTTCAACCGAGCAAATAAATTCTAGAATACTTGTATTTTAGATATCCTGTAACTGGATAGTCGAAACTGACTCATATAGCTTAGCTCCAAGTTTCGACTGCTACACTTCTGATTTTAAACTGCAGTACTAATTTCTCTAAACTTTATGTGTTGCTGCCTTTTTGCCTCACTTACGTAACACTCATTAAGGGAACTATAGATATAGTTCGGATAGAACCATTGGCTTTGGCTTTTAGGGTACGGTGATGTCAGCCAATTTTTTTCAAATCTGATTTATTTTCGAACTCGGATTAGGCACCTATTTGTATTTTCTGTCTACTTTGAGATTTCATACACAATACGAAAAGATGAGAATTCTTTTCTGATACTGTCTTCATTTCTGCTAAGGGGATCCCTTCCCCGTTTTTCGACTCAAAATTTTCAGCTTTTTTCGTTTTTTGTAGTTAGTATATATATTTAAATGGCATCTATTTAATGCGCACATTTTGACAGCTGAAAATCTTCATTTGATATATAAAAAAATTGAAAAAAACTACAAAAGAATGCTAAAAAAAACTTGACTTTCTTTGCCTTTTTCTTAAAACCAGAATTTGAAGAAAAAGCTGAAGTTCCCCCTCCCCCTTTCTCCTGCCCCTGATAGAACCAATCGGCCTCAAACTTATATTGGGATAATTTGGTTAAATTGGAGTGTATCTTTCTTTTTTCTTAAAAATAGTGTTCCTATTGAACTTGGTAGTCTCTAGAAAATTAACACCATTAAAAAAAATACAATTTTTTGATACTGTCTTCAGTATTTTGCCTCTCCTGTGCTGTAGGAACGACATTTGACGAAGAAAAAAAAGACACTTGAATTTAAGTCTAGTTGTCACAGAGAAAATTGCAGCTCAGAGAGACGAAGTATGACTTTTTGCGGAGCGGGGAAGGAGAAGTCCTGTTCAGTTTTGGTCATTGCGGCTCCTGTATCTTCCTGAAGAAAGTAGCTGGGAATTTTGAGTCTATGACAACTTTGGCTTTACTCATCGAGATCTATCTGCTCTGAAGGTTTCATAACTTTTCGTCGAGCCGTTCTCAAGAAACTCCAGAAAGAGGGGGTCTCCTTAGACAATACGACTTGTACCTTTGTCATTATAGTTTTCCAAAATATAAAAGTTCAAAAGTAATCAAAATGGCAAATATGAATACATCGGATGACTTATTACGATGTCCAATAACTATGGAATTATTTCATGATCCAGTCTCAGCACCAGATGGTCATACCTATGAGAAACAAGCGATCGAACAATGGATTCGAAGTCATGGGACAAGTCCAATCACAAGACAACCGTTATCCATTGAACAGCTCCATCCGAATCGCACTGTGAAAGAACTTGTTGATGTTTTTGAGACATTATTGCATCAAAAAAATTACCAGTTTATATTAAATATTGATGTGAAAAAACAGAAAATGCGACCACTATTTATGACAGACGGAAAAACGATCTATAGGGCTGAGTGGTTACAGAATAACAATAATCGACCGGAAATAGTCTTATTAAAAATTGATGGTGCTCGAGCAAGAAAAGAAGCATCTTTCTACGTAGATTTGAGTCGTCATCCGCATATTATTCGAACATTTGGCTTTGTTTATGACAGAAACAATCCTGATCAAGATAATTCAATTCTGCTTTTACAAGAATATGCACCGGAAGGAAGCTTGTATGAGGTATTACAGGAACGAACGACGGCTCCTGATGAACATATTCTCCTTCAAATATTTTTACAGATTATTGAGGCAATGATATGTTTGGTGTCTAATCACGTCGTTCATGGTGATTTAGCGTGTCGTAATGTGCTGGTATTTCGTTTTGATGAAAACCAGCCAGAAAGGAATGTTGTGAAAATCACCGACTTTGGTCTTAGTCGACATAGTCAACTATATTCAAGGATACCAGGTGCTGCAAGAACAACATTGAACAGAATTCCTATCCGATATGCAGCACCAGAAGTACTTTCATGGAATACAACTTTAGAGGTATATACCGAAAAATCAGATGTTTATTCAATGGGTGTGTTGATGTGGGAAGCATACTCTCGAGGTTCATTCCCATGGGCAAACATCGAACAGGATGACGATGTCATTCAACGAGTCACAAATGGCGATTTATTACCTCAACCATCCAATTGTAGTCAACCTTTTTGGTCGATCATCACAAAAACCTGGTCCAGAACACCAAGTGATCGACCAACATTCAGTGAATTGAAGCATCTTCTAACCGCACAATACTATCGTTCAGGTGATTCTTTATGTATATACTAAACTATGTTCCTAAATGCTTTGTTCAGTGATAATCATTCCATAATTCGTTCCCAATTCTAAGTATTTTTTTTTTATAGTACGATCTAAATAACTCGAGCAATGACCGATTCTGTTCAATATAAGCATAGATATAAATGACACTTTTGACAACAACTGTACTGAAAATATACGAAGATAAGTTTTTCTGAAATCCCAATACAAAAATTTTCGAAATATAAAATAACAATCACAGTTTGTTGTAAATTGAGCCATTAACACAAGCATAACAAACTGTCAAAATTAGTTGCAGTAATCCTCCATAAGAAATTTCTTTTTGGGAATTGTTCTACATTCGTATTATCACTTAATTTCCTTCTGGTATATGTGTAATCTTATCCTCTTTCGTCTCATATTGTCAGAAAGAATGAACTTAAGATATGAGTATGAACTATGCATAGTGTGTTTACTCTGTCATTCGCGAAGAATAAGTTAGGAAGCAACCAACAAAGAACTAAACGGGTCTAGGAAAAATTCTAGATAATAACTGAAAGGGAACGTGTCCGAACTAATTTACTTAAATTGTTATTTAAATGATAGGTTGGGTAACACAAAACAGTAGTGAACAATATCTCACAAGCATTAGTCATGATCTTACTGAGAACCGAAGAAAAGAAGCCCAACGACAGAAGGAAAAACAAGACAGAAAAATAGCTCAACCACTGCAGGAAGAGCAAGACAGAAAAATAGCTCAACGACTGCAGGAAGAGCAAGACAGAAAAATAGCTCAACGACTGCAAGAAGAGCAAGACAAAAAAATAGCTCAAGAATATTTCTTACTTGAAAAAGTGAGTTGTTTTTACAAAAACAGGCATCACTTTTTTTTGAACATGTGATGTTATTTCAGCGCCAAGAAGAAGTACGAATCAGATCGGCCGCAAGACCACGTAAGTCAGTCTACATCTACGATGAAGGCAATGTGCATCTATATTTTACGCGTCTCCATTCATAATATAAATTCATTTTATTAATGAAATTCGAAGATGGAACGTGTACCTTGTTTATCATTTATATTTAACTACGTGGAAACTGTAGAATCCGTCAACAAACCGCAGCATTCACGAAGTTCCTTCTCTATGAAACATTTGAATTTTTTGAAACTGCTGAAAAGTTTGACACACAACTATTTGAGATATTCTTAGATTCTTAAATGAAATATTTCCAAGTTTTATTCAATGTCTGAATCAATTCTGATAAAGAACACTGTCTGTGGAAAGAGCATTATCAGTTTTCAATAACTTTAGCAGATTCGACTGTTTCTTATGCTCAAGAAGTTCGAGAAAATTATGTTCATATTTAAAGTTGCTATGGTCAATGATGAGTAGTTAAGTTATTCGACACATACGAACAAAGTACTCTGTCTAGCATCAGCGCTATCAGAAAAAAAATGACCTTGAACAAATCATTATTGACTGTTTTCGCTGTACAATAACTCAAGGAATTGAGCCGAAGTAGTTTGAGCCATACCAACATAATCAAAGATAGCCTAAGGGCGTAGCATTCTTTAATGAACTATGAATGAGAGTGAGTATCGTCAATACCTCAACCTTCACCCACCCTCTCATCATTACAACTTTTATTGAATCACTTTAATTGAAAAGAAGGAGGAAAGAAACATTTTGTTTAATCAAACATCGATGAATGATTAAAATAATCGTTTTTATATATCGAAGACAAAACCTTATTTTATGTGTTATGATGAAAAATAAAACCGAAAGCTTATGTGAACCATTGAGATATCATTTCGATTTCACCTCCAAGAATCGAATTCTCTCTATCAGTGACTGAAAGCTTACAAATTTTCCTATCAAATACTTAGTGGTCTGTGCTTAATAGAGACCTGCAGAATCAGATTTCGTTATTTCGAAATCCGACTGCGACTGCGAAAAATTTCTTATTTAAGGCTCCCATTTCAACTCCGAAAAAGTTCGAATTTTGTTTTATTTAAAAAAAAGGAAATCTCAAATATAGTTTATTGTTTAATTAAAAACCTGCGGAAATTAGGAATCAGGTTGCTAGATTACTATAGTCAAGTCTACCTAAAGGGAGCACTATAGAGACTATGGGAAAATGTTCATAATAGCGAAGTGCTCATCTTCGAGGGGTGAATTTTCAGCAAAAAATTGACTTGAAATTCGTGAAAAATGCTAATAATAACGAGGTTTTCATGATAGAGAGGTGCTCACTGATAAAGTTTTCTGTATTATTTTTTATTATTATTATTGGGTAATTGGTAATAATTTCATATACTTTATTACTAGTAATAAACTAATAACGATATGACTTCTTTGAGTTACTAGTTTTAATGCTATATTAATTAATAACACTTTTACTTTTTTTTACTTTTGTTACTTTCCTAGATTATTTCTAATTACCCACAATAATTCACAATCTCATATGCTATTACTTACTATTACTACTAGTAATAGTAATGCAGCCCCTAATCGATCAAGGAACAAACGAGTGAGCGAAAATCCAAGAATCATCAACAGATTAATTTGAAATTTCTTTTATATTTGTTGTTCAGTGGAAATAATAAAAAATTACTGAAATTTTTCGATATCTACTATGTTCAAGAAATTGAAAATTGATGATGAAAAGAGTTGCAGTACGTCTGATGAAATTGAAATATGTTTTCATTGATGACGTTATGCTGTTACGTAGCCGGTCTTTCACACGATGCAACCAAAAGATCATCAATATGATTTTTTTCCATTGAAATTCGTTCTTCATATACGTAGTGACTGTTATCTTTCTTTTTTTTTGTTTATTAAACTGAAAAGTAAAGCTGTTCTTATTTGAAATAGCAAAGCTTCATCAAAGGTGATCATGATCAGTGGCATACCCAGGATTTTGCTAAGGGGGGGGTGCTCAATACATGTAATAGACTATAAGTTTTTGTGTATTCAAAAGGTGAGTACACTCTAGAATCGATCAATGTATCTGTTCGTCTGTCCGTTCGTTTATATGATAACTTTTGAAAGGAAAATTCGATCGTGATGAAATTTTCTATACATTTTTCTCTCATCTATCTTTCGATCGAGTCCGAAGATGAAAATGATTCGTCGAGCAATTGCTTAGTTATCGCAAAAAAATCATTTACTCCCTATGTTTTTCTATGCGAACATTGACCTATGCTGATTTTCGTAAAAGAATTTCCTCTGATAATCAAAGAAAACCCTATCTCTTATATATAGCATTCGATGGAGAATTTCAAGAGCTAGAAAATGGTATATAAAACGTTAAGAAAAACACTTGGACTCAATATTTTGAGTTAACGGAAGGGTTTTTCAAGAAAATAGTAATTTTTTTTATAAAGGTTGGTGAAAGGAAGTCGGGGTCAGGGAATCCGAAGTCATATTTTGAAAATTTTGAAGTCAATTTTTCAGAACCAATGAGTTGTTCGGAAGGTTCACTACCAAAAACTGAACTATTTGAACAGTTCTTTTCAACGAACTTAACCTTTAAAAATAGTTCGACTCTTTGAGTTGATCATCATGAAAAGCTACATATACCATCTTCAGGTTTGATTAGGAACATCCTAGGCTGAATATCCATGACTCCCTTAGTGCTCTATGGAAGATTCACAAGTTCTCACGGCCTATTCTATGACATACGTATAGGTTCACAAGTCCATTAATACAGAGGTACCAATAGTTCCTCAAGTCCTATTATATAAGAGCATCAATAAGCCCTTAAGGAGTATCATATTGGTATTCATATATATTAGAGCTTGAGGGTCTATTAATCCCTTATATTATTACATCTAGTATAATTTTAAGCTAAGTTTATTTGAAAAGAAATTTTTAAAAAGGTCAGCTCGTTCAAAAGAAATGTTCGAACAGTTCTCTAGTTCCTCTGGATGAAGTTCGTCAACGTGAGCCAATCGACCCATATTCCTCACTATACTTTTTAAGATGATTTTTTTAGATAGTTTGATCAAAACTAATCTGTCGTCAATAATTTCCACTTTTTGAAGTACACATAACATTCGGATTTAAATCCGAGGTTTCCATATTTATTCATTCAACATAGGGACTCTTCTTTTATAATCGAACGACAGAATGGAAGAAAGATACGTTTTCAGGGGAAAGACAATATGTTCTTTGATATGTTCGTTGTGTTGGATACGTGAGACGAGCACATAGGTCATCGCTTTAAACTATTTCCTTTTCATATGATCATAAAGAGAAAGAGAACATCAGACTGAACAGACGACCATTCATTTTAGAAGAAAAACTATGCTAATGAAGGATAATCAAAAATGATATTTGTTCATCATTTTGAACCTTAGTCGGTACGTGTAGAAACGAAAAAAGTAGTATCGCTTAGCTTTAATTGTTGAAAATTGGTTTCCGAATTATGCTTCTAACTCTAAGGGGGTGTCCGAGCTCCCAGGCCCCCCCCCCCCGCCCTGGATACGCCCCTGATCATAATTTTGATTCCGACTTCGACGGAGTTGAAATTGGGTTTCGAAGTACTCCGCAGATCTCTAGTACTTAATCAATATTTTTATTCATTGTTAGACTGGAGTAACAACGCTCACTATACATAATAACCTCTTTCTAGTATGAAAGATATTTGAACAGACAATGAATGATTCTTGGATAAGCTGTCGAAATCGAATTTTAAACATTGTTTTTTGATCATCGAAAAACAGTTTCTTTTTAATCTGTGCATTTCAAACTTGAACTTTTTTATGCTGATACAGACTAATTTATTATTGTTACTTCATCATTTTTCATTAGCCTCTCTAAGATTTTTGAAAAATTACTTTATATCAGTGATAAAATTCTGATTATATACATGAAAAATAGAAAATACGGTTATTGGGATCAATTTTCTCTTCTTTATCTTTCGTCAATTATATCCGTTCTCACGAATCAGTAAGTTTTACGTATGAAGTTCTATAAAGTATGATACGAACAGACTTTTACTACCACTGTAGATCAACTGTTATCTAA